CAACCACAACAAAGAATTGTTTTATTTAAACAAGAGTTTAATTTGGTCTTAATGAATATTCATAAATTATGTAAATATTTCTATTACGCACTGCATCGGTCCTTACTTTAAAAAGATAAGAATAATCAACATAAAATGTTTGAGTAATACGTATAATTTCTGATTTTGAGTTAAAATTACTAAATTAATACAAGCTGAAATTACTTAAAGTTCTTATGTATTTGATTTTACTTAAATTTTCCACGTATGTTCTACTAAATTGAAAATTTGAGTTAGCAAGACTTAAATTTAGTGCGTAAGTGGCAAAACTAATGTTTTCAAGTAAATTCTACATGGAAAAAATACGTAAAAATTACCAATGAACAAATTCTTTTTTACAGTGTAGAAAGATTTAATTTCTAAAAGAAAGTGAGGAGGCGGTAAGGGTATAATGAGTGTCAAAGAGAGAAAGAGATAGAGAGAGAGAGAGATAAAGAAAGAACAAGAACAAGAACAAACAAACAATGCTAGGAAAATGGAGGAATAAAGGTATTATACAAAATCAGAAAGAGAGAGAGAGAGAGAAGAGAAAGAGAAGGGAGGGAGAAAGAGATATAAGGGAGACTTGGAAGATTATGCTCATACCGGTAGCTGGATGGCATGGGAGGTATTGCACTAATAATCGAAACAGGTGCTCCATAATGAGTCGTAGCATGAGCGCAGTTTGCATTAATATTGTTATCACACCGATGCATATCGACTTCGGACGTATATCCGACCTAATGTTATAAAGGCCAACTTCAAACTCCACACCCATTTTCTGCCTGTCCAGGAAAAGGTTATTTGCATTCCATTCACTCACTTCCTTTCCCTGAATGTAACATATTGTGAAACAGCAAAATCTAGCTCCGCTTCTAAATCTCGATTTTTCAGATTGAACTAATTATTTTGACGATACACCGCTTAGGCATTTGACCAAGTGGCATTAGACCAAATGAAGAAAAAAAAGTTCTTCAAAAAATATTATTATATATATCCATATTTATCCTTACACTTTCTGTAGTGTGTGTAAAATTTAACTCTAGAAAATTAATCTAAAGCACAATCAAAATTCGAGACATGATGTTTGCTTTTAAAATGCCATTTCAAACCTTTTTCTGTTATAATTGTTTACAAAATTCCTTAATTAGAATGAACCATAAACAAAGTACAAGTGAATGTGTTACCAAACTATATTGAAGTTTATTTTCTCTTCTTACAAACAAGAGATGTTGAACATAATACATTTTTGTGAAATATAGGGATGCGATAGCAATGTTATGAGATGAGTTGTGATATCTCACGGCTGATGAATTTTAATTATGGGTTTGGCAAAAGAGTACAAAACCTCAGGCCATATCTGTGCATGCTTGGTTAACGGGTACCAGTGATTGCACAGAGAGTTTTAATTTGTTTTCGATCTTGTGACTTGTAAAGGGATTTGTAATCTTCACTCTCTCTCCCCCGGAAAAATAATAATAACGCAACTCATATATATATATTTTATAAATATAAAATTGGAAATACCCAGCTAAAAGTTGACATGGGATCGGGCAATTTTAAGTCGACCAACCCTGAGTCGACTTTTGAACTAAGAAGAAGAAAAGATCGTGCAGACAAGTAATAAGTTTTGTAAACATGAATACAAGTAGTGCCGCATAGTCATATAAAACTTTAGAGTAGGATTTTGTGTGTCGTATTTGAACATGGTCAGTGCCCTTCATCTGATATCGAATTACAAAAAAAAAGTGTTACTATCATTAGAATTAACAATTGCTGTTATTCCAATTGTCAGAGGTAATGACCATTATTACCCTTTTAATTCAAATGTCTGAATCAAAATCATTGATCTTGACGATTCAACAATCACAGGATAAATCGACAGTGTATCTGTAATCAAGACGGGCCATGTCTATTTCTTAACAGCTAGCATTGCAAATATTGCAGTAGTAATTTTAATAAAACTGCAGGTTTTCTTTTATTAAATTTCAATTGCTATTATTACAATTGTTAAAGATTTATGACCATTATTACCCCTTTAACCCATTATGTTTGAATCGAAAGCATTGCTCTTGATAATTGAACAATCACAGGATGCGAGTATAAATAAATCAGTAGGGTATATGTAATCAAGACATGCCATGTATATTGCTCAACAGCATTGCACAGTTGCAGTAGCAATACCAATAAAACCGCAGGATTCCTAATAAAAGTGACAGTCTATACTGAATCTTGATTTAAGTGTTCTTCAGTGCCGTATATTATCACAGCTCTGACAAAAATCATTTAAATACATTGATAACTCTCTTGTTGTCTTACCCCTTCCCTAACCCCTACACCCCCCCCCCCCATTCGTTTTTTCCCGCTTCCCTTCATTCTCATCATTATCGATACTGCCGCAGTAGTCTGCTTTGTAATTTATTAACATTTCCTAATACTATCAGAAAAGCCTCGGAAAAATCCTCAGAAAATAAAATCCGTGATTTGTTTAAGTCAAAATTACCTTTGTTTCCTTCTTTAACAAAAAGAAAATCATATAAGCCCTTTTTTGGGGGGGGGGGGAGGGGCGGCACATTGCAACCATAATGTAATCCCTGTTTCTTTTCACTCAGCATTAATCTCTAACTTCATTTCCTCCTTTAAACATTTTATTATATCAGGGTTCAATTCACCTATGCCCTATACACCACTCCACGTTCTTCTTTTGTATAAGGGAAGTTATGTAGAATAATATTTGGGTACGAGACTAAGCTTTTAGTGAAATTGATGCCTGTAGGGGCTATCCAAAATGTCAGTTTTTGTTTTCGAAAGAGATCATCATAGTTTTTGATAAATTTTCAAGAAGAAAAATTACCGCATTTTGAACAAAATATTAATAAACCTCATCGTACCGCGTGTTTACATGTATATTTACATATATATGGCATTCAGTATTCCTTGCTAATAACAAGTTATTAATAGGGTGATCACACTGCCTGTGCAAACAGTCTGCCCCGCGAACACACACACACAACAGCAGTCAGTTGGTAGAAATATCAATTTTTGTAAATGTATTTTTAAAAAATAAACAATGTTTTTGAATTTTTATTTCACATAATATTTCAAGCATACCTTTACCTACAATTCTGTGTAGATTCATTGTTATAGGCATGTTGGAAATATGTTAATTATTGAATTAGAATATTGTCTTTTCAGCCATGTGTGACATGGCCCGCTGATCGCCCATTGACTCGCGCTGCTATTCTGCGTGGTGGAAAAAAGCACCTCAATGTATAAAACTCCCCTACAAAAATGCAATATCCTCATGTGTTCCACTCACTGAATTAATTTTTTATTTACACTCAAGGTAGCCACAACTGTACTGGGGTCACTAAAGTTTCTGTCACTCTGAAATTCAGTCCCTATGAAATGTTATGGCCTGTTGAATGGTATCTCGGAAAATCGTCATAAATCCTCAAATCTGACATCTTTGAAAATTGCAGACATACTGTGATGTAGCTGAAAGTTTACAAATTCTTATCATATGATCGGTTTTTCTGAATTATTTGTGAAACATATGAGGAAATAGCTGTGACGGTGATCCAAGTAATTTCCTTTGCCATATTGTATTGGCATTGCAAAAATATTAGGAATTTAAGGTCAATATTTGGTGTAAATATGATCTATGAATATATGATTTAAAAAATGCCTCCAAAATGAACAGTTTGACCTTCCTAATTTGTATAATGAGTGCATAAAAAGAATTTTCTTTTTTGTATTTTTTACCACAAAGATGATATTTTAGTGTCTGATAATTTAATTTATTATTTGTGTCCAAGAAAGTGATGAATTTAGTTGTCAACTTTGTCGAACTATGCCATTTTTGACAATTTGACCATTTCTGGCAGGTTTTTCGGTAATTTTGCGATATCAAAAAAATGGTATAAAATCACTACGCATTGACTGATTTAAATTCTGTTTTTGATTTAATTGTTTGAAGCTTTCATGAAGCTTGATCATTTGCAACCATCAAATAACATGTGTTTGTTGTAATATTTTTGGTGTGCTATACCTACTATTAACTACAATGATGTAGCTTCAGATTGTACAAGGATAAAGCATAAAAAAAAACTTAAATCAAAGATCTTAATTATTCGTCTTTGAAGATATTTTAAAACTCGGTGTATACCTGTTTTTTTTTCTTGATTTGGTTCTGTCTTACTTCTTTATCACGATCAAAGAAAATCAGCCATATGGCCGAGGGTTTAATAAGAGTCTTATCAAACGCTAAGATATATTGATTCCACATATCTTACTATTTGGCCATTTAATGATAACTAAACTGAATTAATAAAGCTTTTATCCTTTTCCGTTCTGTCTTTTCAGCTGCCCATGCATCCGCGAGGTCTACAATAACAAGCGGCAGCAAAACAAAATCTATTAAGTGGAAGATAGAGACCGAGAAATAAGGAGCTAACCACTTGGTTGCTTTTTTAATCCACCGCATCAGATTTACGTGCACTCTATAATCACCCACCAGGAGAAGCACGATAATATCTGGATGGATGCGCAGTGAATAGACTGAGCAACTCTTTCCTGACGAGCCTGAGGGAGAGAGCGAATGAGAGAGCGTTCGGGAGTGCGGGGGAGAGAGACAAGGAGTTGATCTTGAACTTAAACAACTCTGCCACACTAGATGGGGACGTTAGAGCGGGAAGTACATGCATTGCTCCTAGCAGACGATCGTTCAAAGAGGAACATATAAGTTTTATTTTATTCGTCGCTGGCGCTCAACCTGTACACATCGCTACCCAGTGGGCTAGTATTAATCAGATAGCGAGGAGTACAGACGCTAAAGCCCCCCGATCAGTTCCAGGGTATTATCCCTGCTTTACTATGTTTTCAAACGGAGGAAAATACGATAAGGAATCAAACATACACTTTCTAATACCTGCGGAGTTTATCCTTTGTTGTAGCATTTCTGGTTTGGAGCGGTTTCATCTTTGAATAATTGAACGCATCAATTGTTAATTTGGAAACCTTCAACTGATATGGAACTATCGCCGAGTCGAGCGTACAAGCTAAACCCGTAATAAACCGTATTGGCGCAAAGATTTTTAAATCTTTTCATCTCGCTCATTAAACTCGAGCAATATATACAAACTCTATTAAGTCTTTACCATGTGTTGTCTTGCCGCTTTTCTTTGAGAAAGGGTTAAAACTTGATTTCCTTCTTCGATTTGTTTCTCACGGATAATACTTAATGTAAGTTGACGGCATGTCATTTGGAGGAAGATTACAATTATGTATGAGACAACTGGTGAGTTATATAGGCACACCGAAATGTTTATTGTGATCATTGAACTACAATTCATTTCCAACATGCGATAGGCCTAAATATATTTTCTAAAATGCAGTTGAATAGATAAAATACTTTCTTTTGTTGTTTGATTTCATTACGTGGTGTGAGAAGAGCGCTGAATCACATGTTGCATTGGAAGCTTGGTCTTTGGATCATTTCCTGACATCACTGAACAGGGATATAGCGGTCATTATGGATAGCTACCAAAATGTGTCAAATGAAGCCCCCATCGAGAACTACCCGGGATTCGAAGGCGTGTTTTCCTTCAACTTCAGCGCTGCTCATACGGTCAGCGTCGAATCGGTCATCTGTTGGAGTATCATCGCGACCACCATCATGATCATCGCCGGTGCCGGCAACATCATCGTCATCTGGATCGTCATGACGAACCCGAGAATGAGAACAGTGACGAATTACTTCCTCCTGAACCTAGCCGTTGCGGACACCATGATCGCGACGATCGATATGCCCTCCATGTTCACTTACATCGTTACGGACAACTGGCCGTTTGGACTCGTCGGCTGCAAGATCGCCAAATTTGTGGCGAACCTGTCCGCAGTGGCGAGTATCCTATCTCTGATGGCTGTGACTGTTGACCGCTTCCGTGCCATAGTCCACCCTCTCCTACCTCGGCTACCTAAACGGGTCATTATTGGATCGGTCATATCTATCTGGATTGTTGCAGCAGCCTGGACAAGCCCCCGATTCTTCTTTGCTGGTCAGTACAAGTTCATATATTCGGATGGAACAGAAAGGGTCCATTGTTACATCATATGGCCCCCAGATGGCCAACCCTACGGATCTTATGACGTGGCGTGAGTATACTGTTACAACTATTTTAACTATTGCATGGCTATCAAATATAAAGCATCATGCAGATAGTGAGATCTGCATTGTGATAGGTGTGTCTTATTTCCAAACTTATGTTGAGTTCTGATAATGGATTGAATTTCGAAAGTTTTTGCGTTGAATCAACTCTGCAATGCAGAAGATGGGTTTCTCCTATAGTACCAAACAAATGACCACATTTAATAGGATTTGCTGGAAATAATGTTCACCGAAACGTATAACTCATCAGGCGAGAATCTGAGTGTGCGGCTTGAAACTATAGCTGGATTAGTTCTTTCACAATAACTCACCAAATATAAATTTTCTAGAAAATCATTTGGCAGACTTTTGAAGTCGGGAAGTTTGATTCCGTGATAATTCGTCATTACCATTACACAGGAGATTTGTTTTTATCATCTAAAATGATTTATTGAGGTAGGAATATTTCGTATAAAGGCATCATAAACGAAATTCCATGTTAAAAAAAAAGAGAAATAAAAAGAGAATATACACTTGAACGCATGTCGTTGTTATAATCTAGTATGATAACTATAGAAAGATGGAAGTCGAATAAAACAGCTCAACTCACTGTTTTTTTTTTTTTTTTTAAATGAAGTAAAAGCTAGAAACACTTGTGCAATCAACTGGCTGGTCAACATATCAATCTAGTACAGCCCGTATTTCAAAAAAGTAGTATATTATGTTAAATGCAACGCGTTTAACAATCAAGGACAACATTTTTTAAAACTCTTATGCCCAACTAACAGATTAAATTTGTCATTACATGTCATTATTTCTGCGTTTAACGCCACCCTTAAAATAATTGTCAGCGTAGGGCCTATAATTAGCTTATAATGTATTTCACCTTCAATAATTTTGTTTTATTTGGCATTCACAGCTGCCTGATGTTGAAAGATGTTTAATTTGCTGAACATATATCATTTGACAGTGGTTTGATTGATTTGATTGATGAAAAGCGGGAAACTTATTTCCCCTTGGAATTACATTGCACTATTAATCTCATGGAAGGCCAGAAGCGCAAAGATCGTCAATTAGTATGAACACAAATGATACGAACCTGCCAAGCTGAAATATATACCCTATTTAAAGCCTCGGGATGTTCATTCTGTATAATGACAAGTGGGAGCACCTGAACGTTCTAGAATTATGTTCCCACCTTGTATAACAGAACCAAGTGGGGATTACGTAACAGAATTATAGGCTCACTTTAAAAAAAAAAGTTTAATCAAGGAAATGCGCGTTACGAAACAGCTACTTTCTCAAATCTTTTTTTAATGATTTTTGAAATTTATAAAGCTTTTAAAGTCGCACATTATCCCCGACAAAACCTTTGTAGGAGTAAACGCTATCGTACTCCCTTTGACGAGAGTCGTAAAATGAAAGGCTCAAGCTTGAATATCTGATTAAATTACGTTTCTAGACCCTTGATTATTTGAAAATTTGTGGGCTTGTAATTTTTCGCGATTAGTATATTACATCTAGCTTCTTACTTCCATCGCATGCAAGCGATGATGTTTTTTGATCAGATGTATTTATCAGTGCAGATAGGAATAATCCAACATTGCATTCGCTTTTGAAAAAGATGACTGGTCACGCGCAGTTACGAGCGCAGCTCTACGTCATCTGCATCATCTAGTGATGCGCAATGGCTCAGTGGTAGAGAAGTGGTCTTGTAATTTGGTGGTCCCGGGTTCGAAACAAAGTCGCCACGCTAGTGCCTTTCGGCAAGGAATTAATCCTCATGACCAAGATCGTCAGAGAGGACTTAAAGTCATCGGCCTCTCGGTTGCTTGATTAGAAGCTTTCACATGCTCTCTTATCAGCCAAAACACACCGGCCAACTACAATTCAAATGACGTCTCGTGGCCAACTGGCAAAATGATAACAACTTCAAATACTTATATGGGAACAAACTTTATATGAGGAAATAAAAGAAATAGCCTCTGGAAATGTATTTCTTAGTTCCATGCTACACCTATTTCAGTTCAGCATCACAACTCCCTTCATGTATATACAACAATGGCTTTAGATGCTGCTTGTAAGTGTCGGCTTGCATGGTGATGTAGATATACAGTAGGCTTGCAGGTGCACCATGTGAGAGAGAGGGAGGATTGAGGAGTCCTGAAAAGGACTTTCGGTAATCTTTCTTGAGGGTTTTTTGTAGTCCTGAAAAGGACTGTTGGTATAGTCTTGAAAAAGACTGTTGGTTATCTTTCTTAGCTTATAGTTCTAAGGAGAGCACTATAGTTCTCCTTAGAACTATAATCTAAGAAAGATAACCAACAGTCTTTTTAAAGACTACAAAAAAAAAACCAAGAAAGATTACCGAGAGTTCTTTTCAGGACTCCTCAATCATCCCTCTCTCTCACATTGTGCACCCGCAAGCCTACTGTATAGCAATGGCTTTCTAATTTAACTGGCCAATCACTGTTCGACATGCATGAATGGTCGTACACTGACCTTCATTAGGGACTTTTAGATTTGCACGTCGACATAGTAGACTGCTACGTGTGACGTCCTTTTAGGCCATGGCAATGTGACGTCCTTTATAAGTCCTTTAAGACAATGTGGTGTCCTTTTTAGGGCATTGCCTTAAAAGGACGTCACACGTAGCAGTCCACTATGTCGACGTGCAAATCTAAAAGTCTCTATTTTACAACTTTAGAAGGTCGTGAATGCATCGTGAACTCTGTGCCTGTGTTGAGTCCATATTTTGGTTTCAGTACTTGCTACCTTTTTTTGATTCAATTTGATTGCTATTAATATTGGATGATCTGCAGCATCTACTTTGATTTAGTCAGAATTTGTATTCTTTATTTAATTCTTTTATTTTGTTCTGTACGTATTTTTTTGTGGACAGATTTTCTGTAAAAAAACGCAGAGCCAATCGCCATCAAATTTTTCACCACTAATTCCCCTTAATCAGGATGAGAAAACTTCTCAATATCAATGTAATCGCTCAACCGTCAAGTCTCGCCTATAGGCGACATTTGTGAAATCACAGTGCCAATCATAATCTTCCTGACTAGCCATTAGACAAAACAAATTTGGTAAACAAAAACTAAAGGTCAAAGGTCATATCCGGGTATATAAGTGTCCGCCAGTGCATAATAACAAGAATCTCAAACTCATTTCTTGATCAATTTAAATTACCTTTTCAGGCCATTTTGCGAATTGCAATGGTTTAGCCGCGGGCGCGCTAGCGCGCATGCGTGAGTGCGCGCAGCGCATGTATAGAATATAGAAATGCTGCTTTTTGTTCGCATGGATCAGATATTTTATAATTCTCTCAGCAACTTCTTTAAATTTTAGTCTATTCTGCCCTAAAATGACGTTGTACGTGCACGTTAAAGATTAAACTCCGCGCGTGCCTCATTTTGAAATTTAAAAATCATTTTAAACATGTATATATTTATTATAACCCGTAAATGAGTCTATGTAATGAAACCCCAAATCTATTTTCATATTCGAATCGAGTGTGATCTCATTTTGACCATACTTAAAATCATGACATCGATATGGCCCTTTAAACTCAGAATTCTAGATTTCAATCGATTTCATTATACAAACCCTTTAGGGAGTTTGACATACTCAGTAAAAACACGGAACCAGATAATTTTGGAACCCATTCATATTACTTATTCCCCTCCCTAAAAACAGAAACAAAAAGTTTTTTTTTTAAATGTTATAGCTAAATTTTAAATCTTTAAAATTCTACAAGTTCGGCGTTTTCTCCAATCATGTGTCATCTGATAGCGTGCCATCTGGCTATGTAGGTCAGCTTATTCGCCAAAATAATTCCAGTTTTGTAATTTCTTATCTAACATGGTGACCGCGTACTTTGTTTGTCTGACAAGTCGTATATCACAAAACATCTGCCGTAAGTCACTTCAAATTGAGAGCTTCAAACGTCTGAATGCAATTGCTTTATTCGCACCACCACGCTGAATTAGGCGCATGCCTATCTGATTTAACGCACAATTACAGCTTTAAAATGATTTACAATTATGATTTACGATTATACGGTTTAGAATTGCTGAGAAGACATCGATGGAGTTTGTTACATTGCAGGGGAAGTCTGTCTTCGACGGCAGGGTATTGTCCGAAATGAATGGATCCCGAATTCGCATGATTGATTAAACCCACCGGATTACGACAAAAATCGACTATAAACACATAATTTATACTTAGCCAGCCAGCTACCAACAGATAAAAATGGGTCTTGGGTTAACTATAAGACAAAATGGGATATTTCCATTTTTTGTTAAATCATTCCCATGAGGACGAAAAACAAGAGGAGTAGCGTCGCATAAAAAGGGATTCTTTATGGAAACGATATCTTATTTAAAATATAAGTAGTTTGATATTTTGGACGAAATCCTGTTATTAATTAAAAATATATGAGTTCAATAATTTGCACTTTTTTTATTGTTTTTTTATCACCAAAATAAGAGATTTAATCAAACTTTGTTGATTACAAAACCTTGCGAAATATTTTTTTTCTTAACAAATATTTCGATTAATTCCCGACCGGTGACATGTGTAACATTTTAAGTCGGTGGCAACCAGGCTATTGGGAATGTCATCGCCCACGTTTTGGCATGGTTCTTTCGTTGCATTTGTACATGTTTTAGATCGATTTGAACTTATTGCGCTGTGTTCAGAAAGAGTATTAAATATTGAAAATATTATGAAACATGCCCTGAAGTATTTCATAACCGTCACAACTGGCTTATGCAACACCTGCACAGGATTTAGAAGGTCAAATCAGGCAGAAGTATCTACTTTGAACGAATATCTCCAAGTTCGTGTTCTGTTCCTTTTATGTTTATAAATCTAAATCAGTTGTAAATTATTATTTTACTTTCATATGATTATTACCACATTTGTCAAGTAAATGCTCCTCAAATCATCAAATACGTTGATTTAGTATATATTGAATTTAAGTATGATATACTTATAAACAGATT